CATGGTGGAGCACTACTACCGCAATGTGCATGCTGTTGTATTTGTATACGACGTCACAAAAATGGCCTCATTCCAGAACCTAAAGACCTGGATTCAGGAGTGTAACGGGCACGGGGTGTCATCCTCGGTGCCTCGTGTTCTGGTGGGTAACAAATGCGACCTAGTTGACCAGATCCAGGTCCCTTCCAACACTGCCCTCAAGTTTGCAGATGCCCATAACATGCTACTGTTTGAAACATCAGCCAAAGATCCCAAGGAGAGCCAGAACGTGGACTCCATCTTCATGTGCCTGGCATGTCGTCTAAAAGCCCAAAAATCCCTGATCTACAGAGATGTGGAGAGAGAAGAAGGCAGAGTGAGGCTGACACATCAGCCCGACCCTAAGAGTAACTGCCCTTGTTGAGGACCCTAAACTGTGAAATTATTAACATTGATAATTCACAATGCAAGAATGTGCCTGCAACTAATTTTAGTTACTTTATGACAGCTGCTCCATTAACTCTCTTTGTGTGTGTGTGTGTGTGTGTGTGTGTGTGTGTGTGTTATTATCTTTCATGTTCTTTTCTTCAGTTACACCATCACTAAAAAGGCAAATCCCACAAAACCTGTCAAGAACATGTTCAAGTTGTGTGTCATCTCAAAATCAAAAGAAAGAAATGTGAAATTACATTTTGCTAAAAAAACAACAAAAAAAAAACACTTATGCCTTTTAAGACTGTTTTTGCATTGTGACATTATTTTTATGACAATTAAGCACACTTTCCCTATTACCGTAATGCAAAAATATTAATATATTATGTACTTCCTTTAATTTATGCTGATTTAAATAAAAAATGTATTACAGTAATGAGACTCTAATAACAATCATCAGTTTTAAAAGCATACAAAATCATCCATTAAAAGTAAAACATCCAAAACATTATTTTGAGATTTCTCGTGAGGAAACGTGTTGAATTTCCATGAAAAATAATGTCAAAGTGCAAAAAATGTTGATAGCCTTATAATATGTTTCATTTTATTCATCAAAAAATAATGCAACCTGGACATGTTTACACAAGATTTCATCCATGTGTAACAGATATATTTTCAATCCCTCATGCTTAATTCAGGGCACATTTTACCACTTAAGCAATCTTTAAAGGTCTGAAGAAACGTGGCATTTGTTGGATTTACAGTCATTTGTTTCCGTCACTTGTTTGGATTCATCCATCAGCATACAATCAATCCAAATATTACTTAGTGGAATATGGCATAACATCTCCAACATAATTGGCTGATGGTCTTAATGTTTTAGCCGTCAGGAACTGCACATATTGTAGAATCTAAACCTTACAGTTTTACATGAGTCACAATGATCATTTAAAATGTTTGTATTGCCTCAAAACATTAATTTGCCACCATTGCAAGTTATTTCTCATAGCCTTGTGGTTACTCACTGCTAAAATATTTTTTTATATTTCTCCCTCACGAACTGCATGGATACATTTGAAACCTGTTCAAATTATGAAACTATATTCTGATGATTAGCATTAAATAGTGACCCAAATGTTAATGGAATCTGATAACACTCATAATTCACCACATACTCATTTCCATGCACCTTGGGAAAGAGTGAAACCGTGTGGGAAGTTTTATGTAGCATCACAGTATTTCACCAGCTTAAGGTGGTTCTTCCAAATGCATAAACACTTATGTACAAAAGCAAGGTTCAAACAGGCCAGTGATTGTTACATTTTTATTCAAAAGACCCAGAAAATAATGATTTTAACTTGACAAAGATATCAGTATGAGTGTTTCTGTGGAAGGGGTTGCTGATAATGTGAAAATGTTGATTATGGATTGTGCGAGTGCAATTTGGTGCCCCTGTGATTGTGATTGTTTTTGTGTAACCTCTATCTTCTGCTTATTCAGTACTTTTGTTTCTACAGGAGAAGTTGCAGTTTTCTGTGTGGTTTCAAATGCTTTCAGATTCGTAAGAGAATTTTCTGGTTTCAACCGTGTTAGCCTTATATCTGCTGAAGAGATTGAAGCCTTATGATTTGTCTTGTTTTGTGCCCTTGTATGCTGTGTGACATGTTACAGTATGTATGTTTGATTTTGAGCACCAAATTAAATCTCAGATATCCTGAAGCACTGAATATTTTAATAGCCGAGAAATGCTTTAAAACATTAACTGTTATTGGAGTTCATGTTTTAGAGAAAAACACGCATAGGTGTTTTTCCAATGCTGTTAATTAACATATCATGCTGAAAAGAGTTCTAAACTAACCATGATGCATTTGTAAAATCCTATTCAGCAGAAATTATTCATTGATTAATTAAGGACAGTATCAACCATGCTAATAGACAAAGAGCATGCAACAATAACCCTGCTGCCATAAATAAATATAGAAATTTGCAAAGAATAAAGAGGAGTTAAACAGATTTTTTCGAATGTGGAAGGCCTAATTTTTCACTGTACTAAATATAAACCAGTGCAAAAAGAAATAATAAATCTTATGTAGAGTGCTTATGTAATCAGTTTTATGTTCAAATAAATACAGGCTGTAGAATATTAGACTGGTACTCACATTCGCAGGCCATACATTTAAAAGTAAAATTATACTTTATTCAAAAGTGCCATACTCTGATGAAAATTACAAAACATTTAGTATTTATTGCATTTCAGAGGCAATGTTTAAGGTATTTGCATATCTATTGAATAATGTGTTCCAGAAATATTTAAATGTCATATTTTAAAGTTAAACACATAATAATTACATTTGCTGCCTCTAACTGTTAAGTCTTAATATCGAGTACAATATGCTGAAAAATCACAAAAAAACAACAACAACATAATTAACAGATAAATGAATATAGCCTACTCATTCTCTTAAAGGGATAGTTCACCCAAAAATGAAAATTACCCCATGATTTACTCACCCTCAAGCCATCGTAGGTGTATATGACACTCTTCTTTCAGACGAATACAATCGGAGTTATATTAAAAAAACATCTTGGCTCTTCCATGCTTTATAATGGGAGTGGATGGTAGCCCAAAATTTGAAGTCCAAAAAATTGAACCAATCCATTATAAAAGTCCACACGGCTCCGGAGGGTTAAGAAAGGCCTTCTGAAGCAAAGCGATGCGTTTGTGTAAGAAAAATATCCATATTTACAACTTTATAAACCTTAAAGTCCGCATGAAATCAAAATTGACTTTATTTACTTTACTAGCGCACATTGCTAGTCTTGATGTAAACAATTAATCCTTGGAAGTTAATCCGCTGAAAAAAATTGTTTGTCTTCCTAATCTTTAATCAAAATCTGAACATTTACTTCCGCTCTGGAATGGCATTCCTTTTCTGATGGGCAGAATATCCTTAAACACATAGTTAGATTGCTATGAGTGAGAGACAGAGAGGAGGATCGCAAACATAAAACCATGCCCTCTATTCAATATTTAGTTTCAGCTGGAAATACGTCACTACACTGAAATAAAGTCGGCAGCAACTTCCAGTTCACGCAGACTTTCATCTCTAGCTTCTGCTAACTGCCGTACGCGCGTTCACGAGAGAGTGGTGTCCAGCGGATGACGTAGGCGTAGCGTAAACTCCGGTGAGAATATGCTAGTCTCGCGAGAACCTAGTTTTGATTACAACAAAGGAAAACCAGTGTCCTCTTGGCTTATATTGAAATCCTCCAACATTTTTCTTTACAAATCCTCGTTTTGTACTACTAATTTGTGACCGGTGTTTTGTTTTGCTCTCTCTTCTGCGCTTCAACTTTCGTCACCGCATTTGCCTACGTCCTACGTCATCCGCTGGACGCCACTCTCTCGTGAATGTGCGTACGACAGTTAGCGGAAGCTATAGAGATTAAGGTTTATAAAGTTGTAAATATGGATATTTTTCTTACAAAAATGCATCGCTTCGCTTCAGAAGACCTTTATTAACCCCCCGGAGCCGTGTGGATTTCTTTTATAATGGATTGGTTCAATTTTTTGGACTTCAAATTTTGGGCTACCATCCACTCCCATTATAAAGCTTAGAAGAGCCAAGATGTTTTTTAATATAACTCCGATTGTATTCGTCTGAAAGAAGAATGTCATATACACCTAGGATGGCTTGAGGGTGAGTAAACCATGGGGTAATTTTAATTTTTGGGTAAACTATCCCTTTAAGATCCTTAGCTGAGGCCAAGATGGGCTATAAAAATCACAGTTTTTTCCACAATATGTAATTCATGTGCAGTGTAAAATGTTGTTGTAACTACTGCCTCTTTAAAAATATATTATAAATACTTTCATTCATCTTTTAGTTGCAATATGTGTTTGTACTAAACGTCCATTCCTACCCTGTCATGTACGTTGATGAACACGTGGGGCGCTGGAGCCAAAAACCTGAAATGTGTTGCAGACACACGTGACCAGTAGATGTCGCTGTTTTCCACGCTCTCCATCATGACTCAGCGTGGGAGACATTTATTTTGAAACATATTTGGTCACTTTACCCTGTTTCACTTGGTTCGTGTTTTAGTTTGGCGGCGGCGGTGGTAACGGCAGCGGGAGCAGGGCTGTGAGTGCGGTTCTGTCGCCGTGGACGGTGCCGGAGATGGCGGAGTACAGTCAGACGGGTATATTAACGGCCCTGCTGCTGTTTACTGCGCTAACCGTGAGGGATATTTATGTGGGCCGCAGCAGCATGACTCAACAGGACAGCGCTGGACCCGATACACACACACAGAGACAGAACAAACACACTTTCTACACGGGTCCGGTTCTCAAATTCCAGTTCTGGTGAGAAACTCCACAGACCTTGATGTTATTCAGTGTTTTTACTGTCTGTTTAAAGCCCAAAGGGGATGCTAAGCTAATACGGCTAACGTAGCATGCCTGAATGTGTGAAAAATATTACGTATTAAAATATTTAAGTTGATAAATATGCACTAAAATAACTATATACTGTATAATACATTTATTTTCATTATAAATGGAATGAATTTAAATAAATTGGACCATTTTTGTAATGAGATTAATGTCAAAAACCGCCCCAATTTACCGCAATGGACCTTGTTAATGTATTCATAAGACGTCTTTTTTTAAAAACATTACATTTTTTTATTTATGTACGTACGTAAATAACATCATTGCTGCGAAAACTGCTCAGGTTATCTTGCATTCATGTGTCTGATTGAAACGTGTTGAATTGAGCAGATTATTATAAATCTGCGTAAAGCTCCTGTGAGATTAACGTTACATTGCCCTGTAAGAACACAACATATCCAAAGACAATAGGAAAGAACGATTTATTCAACTTTGACTGAATATTTTACATTTTTCTTTTCTGAATTAATAAATGTAGAGGTGTGATTTAATGTTATCTAAGTGAGAGTAAACATATAATATATAATCACAGGCCAGTGACTCGTAACTTAGTTCAAGCAATTGTATATACATTTTTCTATTTTCACATCATCTCTATGACCCTTACAATTAAACAGGCTGTTATTTCTACTGTACCTTTAAGACTTCTGTATGTAAATGACGTCTTTTGTGATTGATTAACCTTATTTACCAATTTAATTGACTTATTTGCTCATTCTACCTGTTGAAGAAGCTGAATTGGGGCTTAAATTTAAATGTAGCCATTAATATGTTAAAGTCTTCTTCCATAATGTGACATCTGAGTGTAATGGATTATTAGAAAATAAAAATTATAAGGTTGGACTTGGTTTTATACATCGGTTGTTCATCGGATGATGAATTTGACCTTGCAGGGGTGGGTTTAAGAGGTCTAAATGATTTGAGAAGTCCTGTACACGTCAACAGAGAGAAGTCTGTCCATTTCAACAGACATTTGACATTATGAGTTAACACTCGTAAGGTCAAAAAATAATTAAACAATTTCATGGATATTATATGCTTTTAGAAAATAGGATGAGCTTTCATTTCATACCGACTTGTGTTTGTGGATGTCATAACAATTACCATTTCTAAAAATTATTTATCACCATTAAGTGTGTGTTTGTTTGTTTTTTAGTATATCCTGAGGGTACAGTAAGGTGTTCCAGGAGTACTCCCGGTCCATCAGCCAGCTGTACCCGGACATCCGAATCGAGGGAGAGAATTACCCTCCCAAACCCATCAACAAGTGAGTGTGTTTTTCCAGATGTTGTGGAATCAGCCCTCTGTTAGATGGTGGTGTAGTCCTAACTTTAACTTGTCATGTGTCTTCGTCTACAGATACATTGGAAATTTCATCTCCTACTTCAAACTGCTTGCCATCGCCTTGATTGTGACTGGACAAAATCCTTTCCAAATGTTTGGTATGAACACTCCAAGAATATGGTCCTGGGGACAGGAGAATAAGGTAATGTTGTTGAAGTGCTTGGACTTTAACCTGATTTTATAGCCGAGTTTAGGCTGAAGATAAACTTACACTGTGACTGTGTCATAGTTGAACTGACGCAAATCCTGTTTTGAGGAATGAGTAGCATTTCAGAGCCATAACTGCGTCATTGAGTGTGAAGGGCATGCCCGGAATTGCTGGAATCTGTATGATGACGTAGCGATTGTAAACACGTGTTAAAGACGTAAAATCAAAATGGACTTTATTTACAATTTTAAGGAGACCCTGGTAGTGATGGAACTGAATTAGTATCAGATTTTAACTTTTTTTTTTTTTTTGCTTATTGTAGAGCATATATACTAGGGGTGTAACGGTACACAGACATGATGGTTCGGTACGTACCTCGGTTTTGACGTCACAGTTTGGTATGGTTTTGTTAAAGCAGAGGGAAAAAACTAAACTAAACTAAATAGCTTTTTATAGGCTACATTAAACAGTGGTTTACTGAGCAAATTGCTCTTTCTTTAAATAAATGTAATTATAATTAAAATATTCTTAGGGATAAAAATCTACCTCAGCTTCTGCTTTAAACTAGGGAGCCCTTTTACATTACTGTAAGGTTACTAGTAACAACAGAGCCCAAACTTAAATTAAATTACTATTAATTTTTTAAATATAATCAACACTCAGCTTAAGAAATTGTATGCAAACATGTAAATTGCACATAATGCAGTTTTTAAATTAACTTCAAAATGATAAAATTTCTATTTGTTGTTTAAGTGTAATCATTTACATTAGTCATTTGTCATAACTTGTCTCATAACAGATTTATTTATTAAACGTACATACAAGTAAATTATGAGTATAGATTCTAATATTTTGCGAATTTCCTTCTCTAGACTTCATTTCTCTTGTAAACTAACAAACTGTAGACACTGATGACTTGCCTGAGGTAAATGAAATGCTATGTGACATTTTGTTTACAAGCTGTTTTTTGTTTACAAGCTGTTTTATTGATGTCTTTCCGCGGTTGAAACTGATTAAGCGAATACGTGAGGCATGAAATGTTTATTTCACGTTAAAACTAGCAGTGAAGAGGAAGGGATGATCGTGCTCAGTGCTGCCCTTTAAACTGAGGTGTTTGTATAGCGATCTGTCGCGTCACATCAAAGAGCGTCAAAATGGCGTTTATTGTTTGAATTTCCTGGACAAATTGAATGATTTGTTCGGGACATATGCATATCGAACCGAAAGACGAATATGTGTGCCGTTAAAGCAGCACTATGTAACTTTTGGCGCTCTAGCGGTTAATAAACAGAACTGCACACATCCCGCGGAAGAACATTCCAACCAGAGCTACTTCTCTAAGTTTATGTCTCTGGCGATTCACGCAGGTATGTGTTACTCTGCAGCGGTGACGACCCGACCAGGCTACAATAGTCCAAATATAAGTACTTATTGTAAGTGTACCGTAGTGGTTCGGAATAAGACAAAAACGCGGTTTGGAAGATGAATTCATGATGTACTCGCTCATTATATACATTTTGCAAATTTTGAACACAGAAAAAGTTACATAGTGCAGCTTTAAAAAAAAAAAAAAACTGCATTTTGCCTGCATATTGTTTTTAATAACATGGAAGAAAGTTTCTCACATTTGATGGGTCTGTTTTGCAGATTTTCTCCTGCCTCATGGCATTCTTCATTAGTAACATGTTGGAGACCCATTTCCTCTCGACAGGAGCTTTTGAGGTTTCATTGAATGGTAATGTCATTTGGATGACCACTACACTTAGGAAAAAATTCTTGAAACTATGTGAAGAATATATGTATATCAAAGAAGCATCACTGTTCCTTTCTGTTTTAGATGTACCAATTTGGTCCAAGTTGCAATCAGGATATGTGCCCAACATTCAGGAGCTCTTCCAGATCTTGGATAACCACCTTAAGATGAATCAGGTTGACAAGATGAACTTTCCCTCACCGTAGTGCTGTTGTTTTTGCCAAGAGACAGGTGAGTGGTAAAACCTGTACAATGACATCAGCATGTACAAACATAGCAGGTGTTTAACAATAACTGTTGTTGTTTTCAGTACAGGTTTGTCCCTAGGCTTAGAGGCTATTTGCAAGTATTAGCTCTGTTGCTAAAATAGTATTTCAGTATGGAATTTACACTACTGTTCAAAAGTTTGGGGTCGGTAAGATTTTGAATGTTTTTTAAAAGAAGTCTATTAGGCTAAACTGCATTAAGTTTATTAAAATTGCAGTAAAATTGTGAAATAAACAAATAAAGAGTTTCTCACTGTTTGCACATAATAACCACTCTCCTACACGGTTTCTTAATTTGTTTTTAACAGCAGAATTAATATTTATCCATTTATGGATAAATACACATATAAACCGCTGTGCCATGCTGCTCATGTTTATCACGCAGTAAAAATGCCCCTCCCCGCGCCCAAAACGGGTTGCCTGTGGATGAGAATCCAAAACAAGGACTGGTGGGAGGTTGTCCTGCTCCACTTCACAGTTGCCGAGTAAAAGGAGAGTTTTATAATGACAGGACACGCATTTATACAGCACTTTATTCAAAAGGAAGAACCGCTCATTCCGCGCGTCATATGTCGTTACACTGTTTCTCCGTCATTGCACATGCGCAGTGCTTTCAGTTTCGGGGTTCAATCCGATCGAGTGTTTACATGCACTCTCAATCGTATTAGAAAAGGCATAAACCACCCCCTTCAATCCGATCGAAATTTCATTCTGATTGAGTTCAATCGGATCGATTAAGGTGTTTACATGAAGGCTTTTCAGTCCTATTGAGCCGTCAATCCGATTACATACGGATTATTTGGTTGCATGTAAATGTAGCCGGTGTGAATTCATTCCGTGAAAGACTGGTTCAATTCAGAAACTCATTGCAGAGTCTCGGAAAGAATTAGTTTGCACGTTATTTGTATTGAACAGTTCCTATTTTGTTTATGTGCATTTTTCAAATTAAAGCTACATTTTCCCAGGGCTTGAAAACAAACTAAAAAAATTAAATCGGTTCACTCCGAGCAGAATCGATATTTTAACATTTCTGTTCCTGCGTTCCTCATGTATTATCGTTCCGAAACTGGTTAATACCGGTTAATAATGTTGTTTTTTTTACTTTTTCTTTGCCTATAATAATAATAATAATAATAAAGTACAGCGTTTTCTTTACTCGAAAAGGAAAAAAAAAACAAAAACAGAAAATCTGGTATCTTAACCTGCTGTGCTTAATCATAGCCAATACAGCTTCGTCTTTTCTAGATTTTGGTCAAATGTATCTTACTAAACAGAAGAAAAATCTGTTAATGCTTTAAAGACATTAAAGTATTTTTTCAAGATATTTAAAAATGTTTGCTGCATTGTTAACACTACTTGTATAAAATTGCGTTTTGAGAGAAAAAAAAAACATAGGCTAAGTCGCGTAGGCTGTAGACCAATTACCGGTTTGTAAACATTCAGGATGCGCGCGCATCATGGTTGCAGAAAACCCGGGAGAGATAGCCTTTACAGCTAGAGAATTTCACGGATACGGTACAACATAGTTAGGTTTAAAAAGATTATAAATTATATTGATTAGATGTCTCATCATTCTCTCTTTTCCCCTCGGCTCTTCTGGCTTTTTTCCTCAAGATTTGACAAACTCACTATTTTTGTTAAGTCGAGTTATAAAGTCCGAATTAGGAGATATAAACTTGCATTTGCGAGAAAAAAAAGTCAGAATTAGTTTTCATCCATAGTATGTCCATTTAAACATCTGCGTTTAGCTTCAAATGACGACAGTATTCTATAAAAATTATTTGCATTCCGATCTTGACATCAAAAGGCACAAAAATATTTTTTTCTTTTATTCCATGGATTTTACCCATTTACCTCCACTTGTTCCCAGTGTTTTTCTGCAACCACTATGCGCGCGCAGCTGCAAGTGACGTAACTGTGACGTCTACTCCAAATTGGTCTATAGGCTCACGTCTGCATTTTATGATTACATTCAGAAATAATGTAGGCTAAAATGCCGGTAAAGCAAAATGTTTACAAACATTATAAACACAGCTAAAGTTGTCTTCTCTCCACAACAAATCCTCTAAAGTTAAGTCGATTTAAAGCATTTAGGCTAAATAAATGTCAAGCCAAAAACAAATTAATTCATAGGCGGAGTTTGACTTTTATGCGTGGGGGGGCACCCACTGGCAGACGAGCCAGGAGTACTTTATAATATGTTCTACATTTCATATATTACATATTCTACATTAAAATACATTTAGAATTAACAATGACTGCTGTATAAAGAGTAAAAAAAAAAAAAAAAACATAACTAATGCAGAAAAGTCGCCTCTTTTTCCGAATTGCGTAGATGATATCTATCTTTCACTATCACTTCTGATACATTTTCAGTCAAATCGTTCTCTATGTGCAGTAGAGAAAGATCTGAGAATCTGTCCTGTGCCACTGAAGATCGGAGCCAGTTTCTTATTCTCCTCAGAACTGAGAATCCAACGGGCAGCGCAGTGTGAGTGCAGGCTGCAGTAGTCTGAAAAAGTTTGGATATTTGTCCTTCCGTACTCTTTAAATTTCACATCATTACGCCACACTCAAGGCCATCGCTTCAATCGCCTGTCCAATTCAGCCAGCAGTGATCAGTCCACCACATTTTTACAATAGTATCTAGCGGTTTTATTTGAAAAAGAGACGAATTTCCATTATTCAGTTAACTTGCTAAAGCGGGAGAATAACGAAAAGAGAGTTCTCTCATCTATTGCGACAACTTGACAGTCATGAGTTGCGACTCGCGAGGATATAGTGCTTAAATATAATTGAAAATAATTTAGCCCAAAACGTATTTATTCTACCCACTAAAATAACAAGATAATGCAAATAAAATGAGAAAATATGAATTCTTTAATTCTTATATTTTATTCATAGCTCAGACAAAATCATGATTGGCTCTCATCTGTAATCCAAATATTTCCATATTCGCGACGTATGTGGATGCTAAAATATTATTTATTATGAAATAGGCTTCATACTTCACTCGCATCGAACATCATCCTTCGCATATCAGTGAGGCGCTGGTCACGCTGAATGCAACAGATTGTACAAGGGAGCAGTGTTAATTATGTTTCTTTAACTGTATTTTATTTTGATAATCAACAGGCTGCAATATCGCAAAAATATGTTGTCTGTGTGCGCGTGAGGCGCCGGCGCGATAGCCATACCAATGCTGGTATACAGATAGAAGCAAGACATTCAAAACTGTCAAACTTTTGCAAAATAAAGAAAACTACTTTCTGCTGTCTCGTTTTCCTTTCCATGAACTTTAGATCATGTCACAATAAACCGAAACAGCGCATTTTTTCTTTCGTTTAGTTAATCTGTCAATGATTTAAGTGAAATATATTTCGTGTATAAGCCTATATATTCCTTTTTATGTAAGCCTACAGTTTTATTCTGTTTTCCCCATTCACAGAAGCGCTGCAGGTGCGTGTGATCTGTTGAGTCCATCTTACACTATCCTCGGATAAACTCTTAACGCCGGTGCATTGCCATTGCGACTTACCTTTGATGAGTTCACAGCTGAGCGGGCATTTCACTCGCTGGATGCATCAGCCTCACGTACTACTTGAATTCCTGATTGGTTGACAGCAAATTTCAAATATTAAATGGAACGATAAAATTACGTTATTAACCGGTTAATGGCCATTTCAAGTTTTCGATTCTGTTTGGAACTATAAAATTTGATTTAGTTTCTGGTTCTGTTCCTGGCAAAATTTAGTTGGTTTCTGTTTTCCGTTTCGTTTTCGTTCCTTGAACCGGTTCAGAGCCCTGCATTTTCCTGCCATTGTTTTGCTGCAAAATTACATTCACAGCTCAAATGTTTTATTTTGCCATGGCCTTGGCCATGGAGATTCAGCAGTGGCAGCCATAGAAAAGAGATGCAGGAAGTACTGCCTAGATTTTTGCACAAACATATTTCTTTCTAAGGGGGGGGGGAAATCAAATTGTAGAGTATTGTGTTTCCAATGTATGTACTTCAGTAAAACCTATTTACAATTTGCGTTTGGCACTACCGCTGTGTCGAACAACATGCATAATTCAACACAACAGCAGCATTGAGTGTGGTAATGTCCTCTGCAGGTCTCCGGAGCTGTTTGTCTGGTCAGCGGGACTGTGGACTGTGGCATAATGAAGGCCTGCGCTGCAAACAGCACGCTGTTAGCACAGGCTCGATGCTCGGCCACCACACACACTCTTTC